ATGTGAGAGATGAAAAGAGGAAACACTCGGAAACAAATCATTGTTTCTCTTTTTGCCAGAAGATAATAGATTAAAGTTAGAGAAATAGAAGGGAACGCTCACGGTTGCGCCGGATGAATTTGTGTATCAACCCGAGTCCTTACAGCTATTAACAGCAACATCACTAAAGTTGGGAGCAAAACCTGTCAACCACTGAGTGATATGTCAGAACTCTGACATTGATGAATCCTTCTTCACCAAATTCAAATGAAAAATACTACTGTTGACGAAATTAGAAAGGAAAACAAGATCACGCGCCCACATTATCAGCGAAACAACACCAAATCTATCAGAGACAGTCCTGTCCCATTATTCACTCCAGGAAGATAAAGACGAAATTACCAGTAAATTACATATACGGTAAAAACTAATAAAGCAACAGCTTCAAGGGGTAGACTACCTTACTCTCAGGAAAAAAAAGCAAACTAGGATTGCTCAATACAAGCATCACATCACTCAACTACAAGGTTCACTCAAAACACGGAAGGAGTAAAATGTGAAAACAAACTTAGTATAGATGATCAGGTACAAATACAGGATCACAAAAAACAGGTTAGAGAAACATGCAAATAAAATCAAAGCAAGGACTGCTTCAAGACTTAGAATGGAAGGGAAAAGGCGGGAAAAGGAAAAGGATGACAAATGACGAACCTCGGCACTTGTTGCGAACGGATGACGAATTTTGAGAAGCCAGTTCTTCCATAGCATGACCTTCAATTGCCTCCTCGCAGTGCCCATCGTTGCAAACCCTACAATTCCTTCATCAGACGATGATAACTTCACAAGGGAAGGCAGAATTAAGAGACAGATGCTTGAGAGACTATGGAATACCGAAGGAGCAGGCGTTCGGAGGTCAATTAACTGTCCAAGTTGCTTCCCGCAAATTGATATTTATTGCTTTTGTTTTTTGGGCAAGACATTTCTTTCAATTTCAATTTCAATTTTTAACTCTTGATCATTAACTTTTTCATTTATTTTTAATTAATTATCCAACAGAACCTTCACAGTGTAATAAATAAAACTGAGAATTATCAAGGAATAAAAAACCGGATCAAACACTAAACCAATTGAGATAGTGGTTCAAGGTTCAATTAGTCGAATCGAGTCATCTCGGGATCTAACCAGTCATATTAAAATAATATAATTTAATTAAAAATAATAAAATATAACAATATTAATAATCACTAATAACAAAATATAAGAAAATATGACAATAATTTGATTGTAACAATAATAAAGTATAACAACATTGAGAATTTTTATTTTTATAATTCATCATTAATTAAAATTAATAATCATTAATACCAAAATTATCATTAAAATTCATTTAAATTTATAGGGGCTAACATATCAGGAGCTGCATGAGAAAAAATAAGACTAATAACAACTTGATCATTCAAATCAATTTATTATCGATTCACACCGGTTTGACCGGTTCAACTCCTTTCCAGTTTAGTATTCAAACCAAACCAGTCTATTGATCAGTTTACCAATTGAACCGGTCGGTCTGAACCAGTTTTTTGTTCACTGAGAATCATCCATCAATCAAACGGTAAAGTAATCCATAAGAATGATAAAAAAATAAATTAAAAATTACTAAATCTCAAATTGAGATTAGAAACAACACTTTATTTAGTGTCAACACTACTAAATTTGTAAATGACGAAAAAAATATATTGATATTTCTCATTTAATATTTACAAATTTTTATTTTTTTTGGGTCATTTTTTCAAGTAATTGTGGATTACTTGCTGTCTTCTTCATGCAACAGATTTTTAAAGAATAAAAAGAAAAAAATGTTGATGATTAAACTACAGCTGTCATTTTTTTCCAGCAAGCTACAGTGGTCATGTAAATATAATTGGTAAGTTATCCAATTAATTTGACCCGAACATTAAATTTACATCTAACAGTTCACACATTTTATTGATTGATACATAAATGTAAAGAGGTGTAAAAATAAAGCAGGTTTGAGTTAATAATAAAATATCATAAAAAATATAGTAATCACCTAATAATCAAATTCAAAGATGGGCGGCTTGAAAGTTGAAACTGAAAGGGACAAATACCGGTTAGTTCGGGGATGCGGCCTCTAGCCCTGTGGCAACGTCTTTTCTTAATATAAAAGAGAAAGTCCTTTTCCCATTAATTAATTATTTAACTAATTAATAAAATATTGGTAATAATCTGCCCAACTCGCACGAGAATTGTGATCAAGATAAAGAACAAAATAATTGCGGAACAAGACAGTTAAGCTTTCATTAAAAAAATTTACTTATGAGAATGACTTAAATCAAAATGTAAATATTTTGGGTTGGTATTTTTGTATATAAAAATTTATGAGATTTTTTTATTAATAAAACTTTGAGTGAAAATTTTTCCTCAACTTTCCCAATTTTATTTTATTTCATTTTGCCAGATATTGATGCTCTTTTTAATTTTAATATTCCCTGTGCTGTCACTTAGATACTTACCATTCACTGGAATGCCACTTTATCATTCACGTGCCTTTCCAGCTTTCCGTCCAAGTTCGAAGTTCGGGTGATGGCTGGTAGTGTTTAGTAGGTGTCTCAATTAACAAATTATAGGCGATTAAAATTCATCCCACACCTAAAATATTTTTTTTATGTGTCCAGTAACTTAAAATATCTTATGATACATGCAAACATCTTAATATATGAAATATTTTTTTAGATACGTCTAATACATCAAGTACTTCAAAGTGTTTTATTTAGGTGCGTTTACTATTTTAAAATATTTTTTGATGTATTTATTTTAGAATACTAGATACATCTGGAAAATGTTTTACAGTACTAGATGTATCACGAAATATTTTAGAGTGTTGGATGGATTCAAAAAAATATTTTAAAATATTAGATACATGTTAAGCCAATTATAAATGCTAAGCACTAAGCTGTCTAAAATCTGGCTATGTAGCTAATGATATTTTTATCGCATGGTTGGAAAATTAATTGTGATTATGCTCGATTTAGTTCCAAGCTTCTAGCACTAGAAACGAATCTTAGTACAAAAAAATAAAAATCAATCATATTTTCCTCAAAAGCCTATTAAAAGTAGAAATAAAACATTGGTTTCATCTATTAAAAAATGGAAATTAATTTGCAAAAGACTCCTATACAATCTAAGATCTTATGGTCTGAGAGACTTCCCAATTATCATCCCAATGATAGAAATTAAATCAGGAAACATCATATGCAAAATACCAAGAATTTCATTTGTAAAACGGTAATATCTGTGCATGTTATATGTCATCGTTACAACTTGAAATTCAGTTGTCTGGTCCTTGCCTGACTGGGCGAGATATCATAACAATTAAAAAAAAAAAGTCAGAATTTTTTTTCAAAAAAAAAAAAAGATTAGCGAAGAATAACTTGCTAGAGTGATAATTGGTAAAGAACAATTAAGGCATACTGATGTTTTCTTAAGCTCGAATGCTTTTCTTATTCGGCTGGCAAGAAAAACGTTTCCTTGTTCGTGCACCTTTATCTCTCTCTTAGTTCTCAGTTTTTAACGCCAAACGGTATATCCCTTTTACACGTGGATACCTCCGCAGTAAGCACATTGAACCGAACGAGAGCAAATAAAAAATATTCTTAATATAAAAGTAAATTAAGAAAGTTAAATTAATTAATTATAAATCTCTCTAAAATATTCATATAACATTAAATTACATGCCAGTTTATATTATTTTGAGGAAAAAAAACAATAAATATAATAGACCTAGTGAATTGAAATTTTATAATTAAAATCTTAGGGAGTTTGGGAGTATTTTACTTTTAACAGAAGAAAATCTTATGTTATCTTAGTCTTTGTCTCTTCTATTATGTTGATAATGATTTATGATTAAGAGAAAAGGGAATGCGATTTTTTTTAAAATTTTATTTGTATGATGGTCATTGTATAATTTTACTGTTTTTTTCATTAAAAGACAAATTTATTAAAAGATAAAAAGATACAGATAAAAAATCTTGTAGTTTATCTATTTCATTGTTAGTTTATAGTGACGTGAAAAATTTTGTATTTTATATTTAAATGTTTCTTATTTTTTAAGTAGAGACGTGAAAAATCTCTTTATCCATATTTTTGTTTTATACACTTAACGTTTGAATATTAAAAAAATATATGTCATACATCAAATTTTGTATTTATTTTTTTAATTATTGTTCGATGTAGATTATAGATGAGTTTTTGTCGAATTTGAATAGCGGGAGGAGTGAGAAATTGGGTTTAGAGCAGACTTCTCTGCTAAGCGTTAAAGGGGATGGATAAAAAGAATGCTAAAAAGATCTTAAGATTCAGAAATAAGGAAATTGTGGATCATTATAGAAGTCAATCATATTAAGATTTGTTTTCTTTTTCTTTGGGCAAGAACATGTACTAAGATTTGTTGGCACTCTTGTATGCTAGCAATATAATAAGCGTCAAAAAGGTTTTAAGATTTATCGTGCTTTAAGAATAAGATTTATTGTACTAACAAAATGCACAATGCTAATTCTCAAATAAGACGATCCATTTCGGATTCATTTCTGACACATCTGCAGACCGTAGTGGCTAAGGAGCCTTTGGGATTAAATTTCCCTAATATTTTAGTTTCTGTTTTTTTTTTTGGGTAATTACCTCTCTTGTAACCAAATAATAATAATAATATGATCCGTTAACTAGGTTTCCAAATGAATAAATTGCAAATAAAAAATCTTGTGATAAACCAGCGTGAAAATCTTTTTTTGGATTTTGTGCAAGGCGTTGGAATCCATTCGTTTATCGTACAAGTGAAAATACACAGAAAACGAAGAGCACCATGCTTCATCTAGAAATGTAAATTCAAACAAGACTTGCGAAGCCTACATGGCCAAGAGCATGCATTGAACCCAAAAAAAAAAAAAAACACTGAAGCAAGCATGAGCAAATAATAAAATACAATCTGATAAACTCGATTTTATGAAAATAATTAATAATAATTAACAAATAGCCATAACCCCTTATCTTGGTGATTTCTCCTCTAACCCTGTACATGCAATAGAAAAACATTCCCACTATAAAAAAAAATTAAAAAGACCCCCTATTTATGTAACACTATCATCTTCTATACATGTGATTGAGATATCAATTAAGCTAATGCACAATGCAATATTTTCCATTCTATAATCTCAAAGGATCATACGGTGCCTACAAAAATTGAACCTCAGGGTATTCTCGGACTAGTCGAGGTCTCAGATGCTTATGCTGCTGTAGTGCTCTTGTTCAATACCGAGGGAAGAACGTATCAATCCACTCCTGCTAAGCAGATGTCTTGCTTTTCGTCAAATCAGAGACCCAAAAGGCGATGTCCAATCACTCCTCTGGCTGAAATATGGTGTAAGTTGAACTGCTCTCGGTCTTGGTAACCTGCATATCAATTCGTATATGTTCGTGGTGAGGAGAATCTACATGGAAAGCAACTAGTAATTTGCATCTTACCATACAGTCAACTAAAGAATTTGCATCAATCAATTGTTTGGTGAAAACTGAAGGTATAATTTAGACTTATTGACATATCATCATTGCATAATAATAGGAAATTTGGGTCATATGGAACTGCAGCTGATCTCCGGACAAATAAGAAAATCTGACAGATTAGTAATGTATCTACATTTTACAACTATGAGGCCATGTAACTTCGGAGAAAGTAAAGCATATTTGAGCAGATATACCAACCTCGGCTGTCCGAGAAAGGCCAGCAGGAAGCATAGGAACAAGAGATGTCCAGAGAACAGGATCTACCATGGGGTCGGCAGTATTATAAGCGGTCAAAAGTGGTGCAGACAAGAATGAAGTCAATGGGTAAACATTTCTTTGAATAGACAATGCCCCACTCATTCCCATTGCAATGTCAAGTCTTTCATCCACACCATTATGATGTGGTGATCTGTCAAGTGCCTTGCCCTGGTCTAACTTATTGATAGTATTTTTGTTCTCATCCTCATCGTTATCAGTGTAATTTTCTTGTGTCCTTGACGCCTTCTCCTGCAGGCTCTTGTAGGCTGCTGACCTTGATAAAATACTCAAGGCAGAGACTGCAGAACTTTCATGCTTTTTCCTATCATGGGGCAAGCCTAACTGTGGCATCTGGTATGGCTCAGTGGGTTGGAGTTCCTGTTCCATCGTTTTGAACTCACCACAAATATCTCCCGCAAATCCTTGCTTTTTTTCTTCTGATGATTTTGTTCCAGCATCAGGTTGGCGACTTTTATTGGATCCCCACCACTTGATGTAATTTGTTAAATCAATCTTTCGTTCTATGCAGAAACCACTACCATATTCGCTTTCTGCCGCTGAATCATCACCGGTCCCTTAATATTGTAAAACAGTGGAAAAGTCTCAAGTTGTGAGCAGATAAAGAACAGGTGGAGTAAATTGAATTCACGTAAAAATACATTTTTTAATTGACAAAAGCATAGTTAAGACTGTGGTTACAGCTCTGCAGTCTTTATAATGGAAGATGACGTGAAATTTGATTTCTATTTACCATAATGTATACTGTTGAAGTAATCAGATCCAGCCATTCTACCATATGATGGCTCCCATCGGCTGCTTTTTGGCACCAGGACATGCAGAATAAAAGTTTAAGCGTCAAATCAATGTCAAACGTCTCCAAAATAACATATGGTTACAGGGATACACTACTTAGTAAGCTCATATATCATGCAATATGCAGACCATTGAAGAACCATACACACAAACATAAATGGAAATGCTTGTAAAAAAGAGTTTCTGTACGGATAACTAAATGATATTTCGAGCAGAGACATTCAATTAATAATATAATTCAAGTGGATTCCTTTAAAAAAAAAAAAACATTGAGGTCCATTAATTTTTTTTTCCTCAAATTGATTCTTCACCATTGCAAAATAATAATTTTTTTAAAAAAAGTTTTTCTGATGTATAAATTTCTTTTTAAATAAATAGTGTTAGAATTCAAAATGTGTGATGCAAAGCTCACTAGGCAACAATCCTCTGTCAAAATCAATGTAATATGTTTCTACTTAAGTTTGAACACTAATGAACAGGTAACAGATATACATATTTATGCATACAAATGTGTTCATCACATGCATCTTGTATCCTTTTCTGATACCTAGAGAGTCCCCGATATTTAGAGATTCCTCTAGAAAAACCACTGCTCTTCCTGCAGAAAGCATCCCATATTAGCAACGATTTCGTTTAGTGCTAGAAAATCATTTTAGTCAAGTATATACTCACCGCCGTAAAGACGCAAGGTATTCCTCTCTTGAAACATTTTGCATTTCTTCAAGATCTCTCGTATAATCAGTCACCTACACGGATTAAAGTTTGATACAGAAATACTGTATTTACAACAGAACAGTTGACGCGTCTTTTCCATCTTAACAGATTTAAACTCATCTAGAAATAGGAGAACGATAAGGGTGACAAGAAAGGAAATCTTTCCTCTAGTAATGTGTCCTCCACATCAAAATAATCATTCAAACAGATATCTTACTGGAAAGTTGATTAGAGTCCCTGGACCCCAATATTTTAGAGCAGCAAGGTCATACGCTCTAGCTGCAGCCTCCTCGTCATCATATGCACCTGTTGAAATATCATGAGAAGCAAGCATCAATATGAATGACGCAGCAATTGAAAAGAAAAAAGATATTAAAAAGAAAACAAGGAAGGAATCACCATATGGCAAACTTACCCAAGTAGACTGACATCATAAATGAATTGTTGTCCAGTCAAGCCATGCATAACAGAAAATTAAATGATGTAAGTGATTGTAATGATATGTGAGTTTGGTACGTCAAGTGTTCAACAACATCTTTCTGTACCACGACCAAAAGGAGGACAGAGAGAAGAAGAGACCTTGTTTTCCCTTTTTATTCTGATTCTGGTTCCACGTACTTTTATCCCAAAGATGGGCCTCATAACGACCAGTCCATCTATGCCTGTTTATTCATCAAAACGGAAGAATGGTTCTATGCTTAGAGAAGCAATTGCATTTCAAAAGCAGTGCAAGAGAAACTTGCAGGATAATTTGAAACAGCAGAAAAAGTGTTATAAACAGTTCTAGACATCAAAATTTTTTTAAAGAAGTGTTTCGGCTTACAATCATCTAAAGGGAATGTAAAATGATCAATAAGAAGTGTGCGCGCGCGTGTGTAAAAGCAGTCAAATGATAGCGTAAGCCGTAAGGTGAGACGACTTAAGACATATAACTAAGGCATTATAACATTGCTTATACATCATCTATCAATTGTCATTTACAACGATGTAAACATACAAGAGACAGCTATATCCTCTCTTCCGCTTGAAGAAAAAACTGAAAAAGGGAGAAGGTAGCCCTTATTTTGACGAAACTAGAGTTCGCATCAAATTCAGTGGAATTGACGCAAGCATATCACGCATATACAAAGAACTGCTTCTCGTTTTGTTAGTTGCTACCTGCGTTGCAAGAATAGTTTCACTAGAATGGTGCATCCAGAGATTTATAACATTTTCTTTGGCAGGCAGAATTGCGTATAATGATAGGTAAAGACTTTAGAAGTCAGCAAAAGCAATGCCAATGCAGGATGTCGGAAGACATTGATTGCCACTTCCATCACTGGTATAAATTTTGAGGTGTCACTAAAAATCAAATAAGATTTCTGGCGCCGTGACGCTGCCTTCGTAAGTTTCCCATTCCACGTAAGCAATTGAGGTCAATGAGTCAATTATTATTACTCATGAAGCAAAACGAATAGGTTTCAGTTTTTCCCTCTCTCCTTTGCGAAGGAATTCGCTTTACCATTACATATTTATCCTACTGGATCACTTTCGTAGCAATCAAACGGAAAATTGAGGTCTGTACCTGGTGACACCACGATATATGGAGCTGCGTTTCCCCGCAGCACAAGGAGGCATCTTGCTGATGCGCTCTTTAGCTGTACACCCTCTTTCTTTCTTCGCTTTCTTCAATCCCCTATAGAGTAAGAGTTTATCATTTGCCATCGCTGCATCCGAAACCTCTGCACTGCCGCCGCCGCCGCCGCCGCCGCCGCAGCCAACTTCAGACTTGCTCGGGTCAGAAGAAGAGGAAGCCATGGAAGAATCCAAACCTAACCCTAGAATAGAGATGTAGAGAGCTACAAAGATAGTTCAGTGTCCGCCCTTTTTAGATGGTATGTTGATTTTGATTCACAATGGAGGGAGAAAACTACAGAAATTCAGCGAGGGGGGAGAAGCAATTCTAATTACAGATATAACCTTTCCTGGATTTAAAATGACGAGTGGGTATTTGGCCCTGTGGCCGTCTGGGGACAGAATAACGGCTAGGACACCGTAAGGGTAATTACGTCATTTAAGACATTTTGAAAGTATTATCAATTATTATGATCATGATCATGCACGTTCCATTTGTCTGTTGGTTTTTCAAATACAAGGAGGCAAGGTTCACCTGCCACCGCTCAAAGCAAACAACCTTCGTTGCATGACAGGCGGGAAAAAAACACCTTTCAAGAGCAGAAGGAATCCGAGAAATTTTCGGAGGTTAGTCTTATAATTAATATAGTAGAAATTTTTTACCTTCTTTTATTGCCAAAAATAAAAAATACATGATGCATCAAACAGACTCAAACATTTCATGCCTGTGTTAAGAAATCAGCGTGGTCACGAAGCCCAAAAATGTGTGTGGACTATTATAATTGTTACTAAATAAATGGAAAGCTATCACGTCAAGTCATTTGGTTCCCATTTTAAGATTTACTAGTTTTTTTCAGGGATCCTTTTTGCAAGAGCTTAATTTTGACTTTACACTTAAATGCTAGTGCTTGATTAAAAATCCAGGCGTTTCTTGAGGTTCAAAGAATGACATAATTATATTTTAAGGTTTTACGAAAATATCCATTTAATTTTAACCGCTTAATTTTAAAAAATATATTTTTTATTCTTTAATCCTGAAATAGTTAGTCTAACAATCATAAATGAACAGAATGAACTGTGACTACTGATATATGTTTGGTCGGTTATGATCTAAAATTACTTTTTTATGTGTAAAGTACTAAAAATACATAACGAGATACTCGGTCCTCAATTGTTGAATTGATTTTGATCCTAAATAAAAGGCTCATTTCTCATGTTCATCAATTTTCTCTATTTTCTCTAAATTATCCCTATGGATACTCCCCCAACCATAATCAAGTAGAAGAGGAAGATAGAGTATTAAGAAAGATGATTATCATATTTTAAGAAAAACGTGTCACATTTCTTATAATTAACTAACTTACCTAATTTTCTTAATCTAATCAAATTAGTTAAATAAGTCTTATATTAAGAATTGAAAGCGTAATTACTTTAGCAAGAAGGCAGGGTTTGCAGTTGATACGCCGTGTTATAATATTGTGTCACTTGAGTCTCGAAGACGACAGTTTGTTTTTGCAGCGTTGCGAGAGAGAAAAAAACAATTAGTAGTTTCAGTCGAGAAACACTGCTTTTTCTTTTCTTTGCCTGATTATCTAAGTTTGTTGCTTCCAATCAATACCCGCTATAACGTTCTATTGTCAAATATCAGATGTTCGACTATAATAGAATTTTATTCATCTCATATCTCCGGGGAGCAAAATCTGGTCTGATCTGCAAGAAGTCTCAAGTTCAGGTGTGATTCAAGTGCTATGCCAGAAGCTACATTTTACAAACAACTCATCAGTTGTACATCAATGCAGTTGAGAAACGTACATACAGACTGAGCAGGTCAAACAAAATCCCGTCAATTTTCCCCGGGATAATTCTTCCCAGCATCATAATAAATAAACGGCAGCTATCCCTTACATCAACTTCACATCTACTAGACTAACATTCTTCAAGCTTTTAAATGCAAATCTTGCGGAAGGCTAGAAACACAGGTTGCGGTGATGTAAAACTGTTCCATGGTTAGTGATCAACTTAAAAGATGAGATCCGGACGACTGTCCTGTGGGCGTTTGATCCCTAAATTTCCTGTTCAATGATTCTGTACAAATTTACGACCGAAATGAATTTCAGGTCAAAAGAATCTCATAACACCATGACAGTCTTACGATGCTCTAACTTGAAAGACAATGACGTAAAAAAAAAAAAATCTAAACCTACTCAAAAAATAAAAAAAACAACAAAGGCATAATTAAAGAAGATGATTGTATTCTTGTAAAATATTATCTGTCTTCAGTTTTGGCATTTAAGAAAACAAAAGCACAAACTACGCAGGCGTAGATACCTTTAAATAGCTTGATTTGCGAGAAAAAAGAATTTACAGAAGATAACCATACAAGGATTGTCTAATTTTGACTTCTCTCAATCACGTTCCATGAATGACAACTTTGCTTCTATGTAGTGATTAAGTATATGCTCATAATTGCTGTTATAGTAGTTGTCATTCACGAGCGTCTACTTGTTATTATATACAAAAGTGGTGAAATCAAAATTCCACATTGACTACCCCTTTCTCAAATAATTTCCGGTTGCCAGAGCTCTCATCGCTAGCTCTGGCAGTAGTAGCCGGCTGCCAGTGATGGTAGCTCTAGCGGCAATAACTATGGACGAGGAAGGTTTTTTTTTCCCCCCAAAAAAAGTGAAGGCCCTTTATGCAATGTGCCAAAAAATTTAGCATTCAATTCACTTGGGACTTTATTGGTATTAGGCCATTTCATATGCGTATTTTAGAGGTACTTAGATGTGATTCTCCCAAATCATATATGTAATAATCCATACCAAGTCTTTCTTTTATGACAGCAGCACTTTCAGCTCCACAGCTTTTCCGTGCAAATGAGGATATATCGTTGTGCATTTCACATGAGGGACAAATTCCTGCATCTTCCATCCATTGCAGGACCTGCAGAAAGAGGTTGCATTAATTTTTACAGGCATTCATAAAAGAGGGAATTAGTGGAAAACTAGGAATGAACAAATGTTGTGTTCCAGATATGCAAATTTGCCTTGCAGCCAGAAAAACAGAAGAATAATGCAACCTCCCATGTTCTGAACTGGCACCGGTATGGAAGAGAAAAGCATTATCCCATTACCCTAAGATATTGCATGGGGCCAATATATAAAAGTGTGGGAGGAATTTTGGCAACAAGAGTTCACATTCAAAGAGTCAAAACTCTTGAATTAGTGTTCCACAAGTTTACCAAAATCCAAGCAACAAACCTACCAACCATTGTTAACATCATGGGAAAAAATTGCACACATCCAACGAAAACCAAGAACTTTGAAGCTGTATGCATTTTTAAATTAAATATTCAAGAAAGAGCTAGATGAACACCCAAATGCAATACATAAAAGAATATGAAGGAAATTAAGGTTACCTCTAAGCACTTCCTCCAATTTCCAGAGGATATAAGGTTCTTCAGTAAAACAGAATAAGTGCTAAAGCTAATTTCAGCACCTGAAGCAACCATCTTGTAGAACAACTGGGGCATTTGAAAATAAGATGACCAGAAAGCAAGATAATGTCAGATGAGTAACCACTTCGAATCATGCATTAAATGAGAAAAAGAGATCTAAATAAATGTAGTGGCAAAACATATTGAAATTGCACGACAACATTTAGCATAAACATGTAGAAGATTTGATACCTGCATCATAGTCTCAGTCCTTCCACTTTTTCCTAAAAAATGCAGGAACTGATTAATAAGTCCAACTGAAGCTACAGCAAGGAAGGGCTCCATATAGATAATTAGTTCACCAGCTGTCCTCCAATCACGTAGCCTAACAGCAAAAGACAATTTAGCAAGACAGACATACTACAATTTAAAAAAAAAAAAAAATTTGCAGCCAAAATATCAAAGGGAAGATATATAAAAAAAACCATATAGACATATATATAATACTACATCTGGTCCTCAATATAAGAGCTAGAAAACTAATATGGGGATATTAAGAAAATTAGTTTAGTTATTTGTAACAAATATGTGTTTACTTCCCCAAACTACCCTCTCTAATTTGTACATTAAAACTACCTTTTGGGGGAAACTCCTTGCAATCAATAAGAATACTTCAACAGAAAATTTATAAATTTGAGAAATAAAGTCGGTTGAGATCTTATATATTTAGGACCAAACCCCAACTAGTTCTTATATTAAGAACTAGAAGTAGAACGAACTCTACCAAAATACCATACCATGGGACATTCCCAAAGGCCAAAAAAAAAATCAAATATCTAGACATCCTAGTTGAAGATCTACCCAGCAACACGTGCTTAAATAAGCAAAATTGTAACATCAAAATCAAATTTTATAGTTAAAAAATATGCCTTTAATAGGCAACAATGAGCCAGTGACCAATTGCACCAAACGAGGGAAGGCAAAACAAGTATCTTTATGTCTCACAACTGAAGACCCCTCCATCTTATATATCAAACAACATGGCTAGCAAAATACTTCTAATAATAAAAATTAGCTATTAAACTTTTGCCAAAGAGGTGAATGCGCAATGAAGCCCAGATCAGGAAGATAACAAGAAAAAAATCCAGTTTGGATTAGAAGAATGCAGTCCAGGAGAATAAGATGAGATGGACATCACAGAAGTTTCACAAAGAATCAACCATGAAAGATCATTGTAAAGTGCAGGGCATGGTTACAACTTACAAGCTACATGCAGATATTAATTCAAAGATAATGGCATCAGTGAATGGAATCTCTTTCTCTCTCATGCTTTCTGCCAGATTCAAAGCCCTCCTGGGTTGGCCTCCTTCATTGAAAGCTCTCATCAGAGCAGCACAACCAATAGCATCTAGTTTGATGTCATTTGTAACCATTTCTTCGAAAAGTGCATATGCTTTTTCCCAATGACCTGATAAACACACACAAAGTTACTCCAAAAATATATAAATTCCATTTACCATAGTATTGTTTCAATGGTTAATAACTTAATAACCTACCCTACCTGCAGCACTGTATGCATGAAGCATTGCAGTATATGTAACCACATCAGGGTAATAGCCTGACTTTTTCATCGAGTCAAATGTAGATTCTGCTTCTGTGAGTTCACCCTAAAAATCACCCCAAAACATATGAATAAAAAATATGACAAAAGGAACCAGAGTCATGAAATTTTATAATTACTCCATTAAGCAGTATCATATTCACAAGGTACTTGCCTGTTTGCTATAGGCACATATGACAGATGAATAGACCTCTTTGGACAAAGGA